GTGATTTGTGTGTGTGTGTGTGTGTGTGTGTGTGTGTTGCTGGGGATTGAACCCAGGGCCTTGTGCATGCAAGGCAAGCACTCTATCAACTGAGCTGTAGCCCCAGCCCCTACATGTGATTTTAATACATTCATTCATTTAATAGATATTTAACGAATACCTATAACATGCCTTGTAAATATAAAGAAATATAAAGTATATGTTTATATTATAAAATGTTTTCACAAAAACGCAATTGCTTTTGGTTAAAGTACAATGAATAACTCCTGTAGCAATTAAAAATGCAAAGAACACCCTAAAATGACTATGAGTTCTTATTAATACAAAAAAAATAGTAATTCAGATTATAGTCAGAGATTGTGAAAAAACAGATAAATGTGCTCTGCAAATTGACTCAGATTTTGGGTGTCAACATGACATAGAGCAACAGAAAGTGAAAGGCATCAACTTCCTGTTCTCCAACCAGGTTATTGAACTTTGGAGTATGTACCTCAAAAACACAACTCAGGAGAAAAGAGTAAGGAATCTATATTGAGATGTTCATGGTTCCATTATTCAAAGCGGTCAGAAGCTGGAAACACCCAAAGACCCACCAATAAATATGGCAAACCAGTCTATTAACAAATTTACATAGGTCACAGTCCTAACCCACTGGTTTCAACTATGCATATCAGAAGGTACATCAGAAAAGGTCAACAGTGTTTCAACTGTTGGTTAAGTGACTTGATGTGTAATTGCTTACGTTTTTCTATGTGTACATAAAAGCAATAATTCAGCAATATGATATTTCATGCAAAATTTCTATGTGGATAACAAGAAAAAAAACCAAATGATCCAAGCACTAATGAGCAATTGGCCTGAGCAAGAAAGTTCTGAGGGTTGCAGATGCAGCTCAGTGGTAGAGCGCTTGCTTCTAAACGGAAGAAAGTTCTGGAAGCAACTGGGGTCTGACAGGCCGGGTGTGAGTCAGCGTGGCCCTGCTGTTTTCATCAAAGCTGGTATATAATTTGGGTGACCATGTGTTCCGGTTTGCCGGGGACGGTCCCGGTTTACATCTGTTGTCCTGGCATCTTGTCTGGTTTTGCATTTGTCCAGACAAAAGAGTCCCGTAGGCGTCTGTGAGGCTCGGGGTAGTCTCATTCATCTTTGGCTCCAAACCCAGGCGCTCACAGGGCCACTTGTTGCATGCCCAATGATACATTTGTTAAATAAACAACTGTAAAGATAATGACTAGAAAATACCCAGTCCCTCTCCAGCAAACATGTATTAAGGCGCATCCTGCAATGAGTTCCAGGGATACCAAGTCATTGAAGGCCTGGCCCCTGCCCAGAGGATTCAGAGACTGGTGGAGACAGGTCACAAGGTCAATTCAGTCAAGTAGAGTGAATGGTAGATGGAGTAGGTATGGGGAGGGTGTGTGTGTGTGTGTGTGTATGTGTGTAGGATGGTTTAGTGAAGAGCTGAATCACAGAGGAGTTCTGCCTAGAAGGTTATCCAGGTAATTAGTATTTGCAAGAGATGTAGTCAGGAACACTGGGGTGTTCAGGAAACTTCAAGGAATTTGCATTTCTTAAATGTGGGATCTGGGGGATGCCATGATGGGAGTGGGGACTGGAGGGAGAGATGGGATGAGATGGAGACATTTTTAAATGCCATAGGAGCATTATCCACCTCAATCTCCCTTTTTCCTTGCCCCCATTTTACTAGAAAACCAGATGGTTAAAGACGCCAGCTCCTCACCCCTTTGCCCTTCTGGTAATTGTGTGACATGAGCTTGAGTTGAGAGGACTGCAAGCTGAAGTTGCTGAGAGTTGGTGAGGAGGGAAGTGAGCTCACTTGAAAAAAACACAGAACAGATAGAAGATGGATCCAGTGGATGGATAGAGGACGAATCCATGGACAGACATGTGACAAAGCAAACCTAGTAAAACGTTGCTGGTGTACAGTGGAAAATTGTCTGGCCATACAAAGGACTGACGCACTGAGACATGCCACAGTAGAGATAAACCTTCCAAACGATGAGCCAGTCACAGATGACCATATAGAGTATGGTTTTCATGTATATCAAATGTTTAAAATAGACAATTCCACAGAGACAGAAAGACTAGTGTTTTGCTTAGGGATAGGAGAGGGGAGGGGAAGAATAGGAGTAACTGCTAAAGGGAATAAGGTGTCTTTGGGAGTGAAGAAAATGTCCTAAATTGATTCCAGTGATGTTTGTGCACTTCTGTGAATGTAGCTAATACCAGTCAAGTTTAAAGGGTGAATTTGATGATATTTAAATTATAATCCAATAAAGGTACTGAAAATGTCAGAGACACATTCTAGATAGTGGGTATTTCACAGGCACTTGCTCAAGTGCAATTTTTTCAACTTTGCTGAATGCTTGGAAGCTTTTATAATAGAATGTAGAGGGGGAAATAGGAGTAAGGGGTGGGGGATGGGATGCCAGGCAGGTGGCCAGGGCCCAAGAGGCACAAGGGACTCTTCTGGAAAGAACAGGAGGAGGAGCCACAGAGAGGGGGGAGGGGACTCCAGTCTTCCATCTCTGCTTTCCATCAGTCAAGGATTTACCTAAAGAGCTAACTTTATATTTCTCAGTCCACATCTTTCAACAATTAGCAGCTGACCAGGAAATCAGGGTCCACCCTCCACAGCATGATGTTTGTGGTATTTCATCTGACTCTGAAAGTGGAGGGTCAGCTTGGCCTGGATACACTGCCCACAGGGAGCTCAAGGGAAGAGAGGTGATGGGGGGGGGGACACGACGACACTGGGAGTAGCGTGAGGCTTGGGGCCCAGAACCCCAGCGTCCTGAGATGTTCCAGTCAGACTAGTGTGTGCTCTTTCCATCCATGGTACTGGCTATGAGCTGGCCCTTCACGCAGAAACAAAAGGCTGTCTGTGCTGAAAAATTGTCTCACATTATTTCTTCTATCATTTTCTTACTTCCATTTTATCTTTTCTCATTTTTTTTTGGAGACCTTTATTCTTTAAGTTTATTATCATTTGTTCCTATTTTATATTTTCTTTCTTTTTTTTTTTTGGTGGTGAGATTCCTCTATTTTGGGGGTAGAGTACTAGGGATTGAACCCAGGGCTGCTTTACCACAAAGCTATATACCCAGCCCTTCAAAAAATTTTTTGAATCTCAATGAATTTTTATTTTATTTTTTTCTTCTTTTTTTTTCCTTTTAAATTGTTACTCTTTTTAGATATACGTGACAGTAGAGTGTATTTTTTGGGGGGGAGGGGTTACTGGGGATTGAACTCAGGGACACTCAACCACTGAGCCACATCCCCATCCCTATTTTGTATTTTATTTAGAGACA